TAGCCTTTAATAATTTAATAGACTCATTTGGTTTTACCCAAAACGTCTGCACATCTACTCATTCTTATCATCACACTCTTGATTTAGTTCTGACCTATGGTATAGAGATTAAGGACTTGGTAATAGTTCCTCAAAATCCTTTTCTGTCCGACCATTTTTTAATAACCTTTGAGTTTACATTAAATGACTACACAGTCACTGAGAGTAAATTTCATCTCAGCAGGTGCTTATCAGAAAATGCTGTAACCAAATTTAAACAATCTCTTCCATCAATGTTTTCCTCTGTCTTGCAGAGTAATGCATCAGAGAACAGAGACTTAGATCATCTAGTTGATCATCTTACAACTTCAATGCAAACTTCACTTGATAAAATTGCTCCACTGAAAAATAAAGTATTCAATCAGAGGAAACTGGCTCCTTGGTTCAATTCTGAGTTACGTACTTTAAAGCAGGCAACTGGAAACCAGGAGAGAAAATGATGCTCTACTAATGTTGAAGAATTTTATTTAACTTGGAAAGATAGTCTGCTAACATATAAAAAAGCTCTCCGTAAAGCTAGAACTTTATATTACTCGTCTTTAATAGAGGAGAATAAAAATAACCCTAGGTTTCTGTTTAGTACTATTGCTAGACTAATTAAAAGTCCCATTTCTGTTGAACCATGTATCCCTACAACTATAAATAGTGATGACTTCATGAGATTCTTTATAAATAAAATTATTTCAATTAGAGAGAAAATTCAAACCATCCTTCCTTCTACTATCTCTAGTCCCCTGTCAAATGAGACAACTTTAAAAATTTCACTAGAGCCTGATTTATGTTTGGACAGTTTTTGTCCTGTTGAGCTCTCTGAATTGTCAAAAATAATAACCTCATCCAAACCATCCACATGTCTGCTAGATCCCATCCCAACCAGACTGTTTAAAGAGGTATTTCCCCTAATTAATGTCCACATTTTGGATCTACTTAATTTGACTTTAATGTGTACCACAGAGCTTTAAAGTTGCTGTAATTAAACTTTTACTTAAGAAGTCTGATTCTGATTCTGAAATTCTGGCCAACTATAGATCTATATCTAATCTAACTTTCATTAAAAAAATTCTAGAGAAAATAGTTGCAGGTCAGTTGCGTGAACATCTACAAAGAAATAATCTTTTTGAAGAGTTTCAGTCAGGGTTTAGAGCTCATCATAGCACAGAAACAGCACTAGTAAAAGTCACTAATGATGTTCTCATGGCCTCAGACAATGGACTTGTGTCTATACTGGTCCTGTTAGACCTCAGTGCTGCATTTGATACAGTTGATCACAATATTTTACTACAGAGACTTGAATATGATATTGGGATTACAGGAACAGCTCTAAAATGGTTTAAATCATATCTATCTGATAGATTCCAGTTTGTAAATGTAAATAATAAATCTTCTTCATACACCAAAGTTAGTTATGGAGTTCCTCAGGGCTCAGTGCTTGGGACAATACTCTTTACTTTATATATGTTTCCTTCCATCCATTATCTTTACCCGCTTGTTCCATTTTGGGTCACGGGGGTCGCCGGTGCCCATGTCCAGCAATCACTGTGCGAGGGGCGGGGTACACCCTGGACGGGTCGCAAGTCCATCACAGGGCCACATAGAGCCAAACGAGACAAACAACCATTCACTCTCTCACTCACACCTAGGGACAATTTAGAGTTACCAATCAGCCTAACATGCATGTTTTTGGTCTGTGGGAGGAAACCGGAGTACCCGGAGAAAACCCACACATGCACGGAGAGAACATGCAAACTCCACCTAGAAAGGCCCCAGGACCGGGGTTTGAACCAGGGACCTGCTCGCTGAGAGGCAATAGCTCAACCAGTTGTGCCACCGTGCTGCTTATATATGTTTCCATTAGGTAAAATTATTAAAATAGCATGGGATAATTTTTCATTGTTATGCTGATGACACACAATTATATTTGTCCATTAAACCAAATTAATCAAATCAACTACTTAGACTACAAGCATGTCTTAAAGACATAAACACATTACACCAGTTCTGTCCTCCCTTCACTGGCTCCCTGTTCGTACTAGGATAGTCTTTAAAATTCTTCTGTTGACCTTCAAATGCTTAAATGGCCTCGCACCCCTTTACCTCTCTGAGCTACTGGAACCTTATGTTCCCTCTTGGGCCCTGAGATCATCCGATCAGCTGCTTTTGGCTGTTCCAAAAACAAGACTGAGGCTCAGAGAAGATCAGGCTTTTTCAGTCATGGGCCCCAAACTCTGGAACAACCTGCCCCTCAACATCAGGCAGGCCACCACCCTTCCTCACTTCAAATCCCTGCTTAAACCACATCTGTTCTCACAGGCATTTCACACAGTGTAAATTGATCTAGTGTTTTTTTTTTTTTAGTTCTGTGACCCTATGTTTTAAATGCTTTTTATTAATTGTTCAGTTATTATTATTAGTGTATTGTATATTTTTTCTCTTTAACTTTACTCCCAATGATTGTTGTTGTTAAGCACTTTGATAAAAGGTTCTGTTTTAAATGTGCTCTATAAATAAAGTTGACTTTACTTGACTTGACATAAAAACCTGGATGACCCTTAATTTTCTACTGTTGAACACAGACAAGACTGGGGTTTTGGTTTTTGGACCTGAGCACCTTAGGAATGAATTTTTCAGTCTTTCTCCCTCCTTAGATGCATTAATCTGTCCTCCAGCTCTAATGTTAAAAATCTTGGTGTTATTTTTGATCAGGACATGTCTTTTATCCCCCACATTAAAAACATTACTAGAACTGCCTTCTTCCACCTGCGTAATATCACTAAAATTAGAAACATCTGATCTAAAAATGATGCAGAAAAACTGGTCCATGCATTTGTCACGTCTAGACTGGACTATTGCAATGGTTTATTATCTGGATGTCCAAATACTTCTTTAAAACGTCTTCAGTTGATCCAAAATGCTGCTGCTAGAGTCTTAACCGGAGTTAGTAGGAGAGATCATATTTCTCCAGTTTTAGTTTCTCTCCATTGGCTTCCTGTCAAATCCAGAATAGAATTCAAAATCTTACTTCCAACCTATAAAGCTCTCAACAACCTGGCTCCATCTTATATTACAGATCTTATTGTTCCATATTTTCCTAACATAGCACTTCGCTCTCAGACTGCAGGTTTACTTGTGGTTCCTAGAATTTACAAAAACAGAATGGGAGGCAGATCTTTCAGTTATCAGGCTCCTCTCTTGTGGAACCAACTTCCAATCT